GGCGCCAGGGCGCCGCGCGCGCGGGGGCAGCGGTCTCCGGAGCGTGTGCGCCGCAGCACCGTCTGCGGGGAAGGGAGTCAGCGGGCGTTGGGGGCAAACGGGGGCGTGGGGTGGCTGCCCCTTGCTCACCTTGCGGGCCAGGGGGCTGCTAGGGGCCGAGGCGCTGCTGTAGAGGCTGAGGCTGGAGCTGGAGCGGCTTGGGGACAGCACCTTGGAGGAGGGGGCCGACTGGTTCCCCGCGCACTTGGCCGCGGCGGCCCCCAAGGCATCTGGGGACAGGTACTTCTCGTTGATCTTCAGGTTGGTCCTTCCCTTCACTGGGGCGATGGGGCCGTGAGCGGGGAGGCTGTGCTGGGGCTGCGGGCACAGCCGCCCACTGTGCGCGGCCCCCCAGGGCACGGCCCGGGGCACTGGGCCCTGCTGCGCCTGTGCTGGGGCTCTCCAGCTGCAGCCCCGCTGCCCACACTGGCTGCAGAGCTGTGGGGTATGTGGGGTCCCCATGCCCTGGAGCTGGTGTCAGGGTGCCATGCCATGTGAGCCATGCAAGCCATGCAAGCCGCGCAAGCTGTGCAAGCCATGCGAGCCATGCAAGCTGTGAGAGCAGTGCGAGCAGTGCAAGCTGTGCAAGCTCTGCAAGCTGTGCGAGCTGTGAGCCATGCAAGCCATGCAAGCTGTGCAAGCCGTGAGAGTCGTGCAAGCTGTGCAAGCTGTGTGAGCTGTGAGCCATGCAAGCTGTGATAGCTGTGCAAGCTGTGCAAGTCATGCAAGCTGTGCAAGCCATGCGAGCTGTGCGAGCCGTGCAAGCTGTGCAAGCCATGCGAGCTGTGCAAGCCATGAGAGCCATGCAAGCCGTGAAAGCTGTGCAAGCTGTGCAAGTCGTGCAAACTGTGCAAGCCGTGCAAACTGTGCACACCGCATAAGCGTTGTGAGCCGTGCCCACCTCGGCAAGGGTCGTTCTTCACCAGGAACTCGTCCAGCGCGATCCATCCACCACCCACCCGCACCATGAGGGTGCTGCGCAGGATCCGCACCATCCGCAGCTGCTGCGACTCCCCGAACTGCGGAGGAGATGGTGTGAGGGTGGCCTGGGGTTGGGGGCGATGAAGGGTGCTGGGCAGTCCCATGAGGAACATGAGGGAATGGGGATCCTGTCCAGCACAGGCTGCCTGTACGGCGTTGGAGGAGTCCCGGCAGGAGGGAATGTGGGACCGGAGATCCCACACAGTGCAGACTGTGTGCATAGGGCCAAAGCAGCTGCAGGACCAGGGACCGCAGGAGCAGGGATCCCACACAGTGCGGGCTGCGTGCACAGCGCCGGAGCACTCCCGGTAGGAGGGAGCAGTCCCAGCTGCAGCGTGGTGGGAGGCAGCACTTACCCGGTACCTGTTGGCACTGATCTGCTCCACCTGGAAGCGCTTGGCACAGTTGCACTGGGCCACCTGCCTGTTCACCTGGAGAAAAGCCACATGGTTCAGCCCGTGGGTCCCTGGTCCCCATGCACCCTGGCCACAGCCACGGACACACCTCATCCTGGATACGGTCAGCATCGGCACTGCGGCGCAGCGGGTCCCGAGTCGGGTGCAGGGCACTGACGAACTCGCAGTAGTCGATGAAGCCGTCGCCGTTCAGGTCGAAGATGCTCGCCACGGCCTTCATCTCCAGCACATTGGTGGGGAACTCTGCAGGATGGGGAGGATCAGCCCTGCGAAGCGGCACCCCGTCCTGCACGCCCCATGCCGGCACTGCCTGCTCACTGGAGGCAAGGACGCTCTCGATGAACTCCCGCTGGCTGATGCGCCCATCCTGGTCCCGGTCGATGCCCCGGAAGATGTCCAGGACCCGGGACTTCATCTGGCCAATCCACTGCATGTAGCGCTTCCGCCAGACCCCGAAGTCGAAGTGCGCAAACTCCTCCAGCTGCAGAGGTGGTAGGAATGAGACGCATCCCATGGCAACAAGCATGCCAAGGAGAATGAACATCCCACTGGGAAAGAGCATCCCTGAGGGAAGCCCCTCTAGCATCCCAGATGGAGCATCCCAGCACGGAGCCACTGAGGCAACAGCAACATGGCTTGGGCCAGCTGGGGTCTGCAGGGATGGGATCTGCCCACTCCCATCTGGAGGGACAGGTGGGGATGGGATCTGCCTGCTCCCACTTCAGGGATCTGCACGAATGGGATAGACCCAGGATGTGCGTGGCTGGAGTCTGCCCGCTGCCACCCAGAGAGCCATGTGGGAAGGGGCTTGGGGACACCCCAGCTGTGTCAGGCCCAGGGCTCCCACT